CATGGAAAAGTTGTTATCGACAACTTTTCGCCATGGAAAAGTTGTTATCGACAACTTTTCGCCATTGAAAAGTTGTTATCGACAACTTTTCGCCATTTTCTCCAAAGAAAAGTTGTTATTGACATTTTTTATCCATGGAAAAGTTGTTATCGGCAACTTTTCTCCACAGGAAAGTTGTTATCGTTAACTATTTTTCACAGAAATGTTGTTATCGACAACTTTTCTCCATAGAAAAGTTGTTATCGACAATTTTTTTCCATGGAAAATTTTTTATCGACAACTTTTCTCCATGGAAATGTCGTTATCGAAAACTTTTCTCAATAGAAAAGTCGTTATCGAAAACTTTTCTCAATAGAAAAGTTGTTATCGACAACTTTTCTCCATGGAAAAGTTGTTATCGACAACTTTTTGCCATGGAAAAGTTGTTATCGACAACTTTTCGCCATGGAAAAGTTGTTATCGACAACTTTTCTCCATAGAATAGTTTTTATCGATGGAAAACTTGTTATCGACAACTTTTCTCCATTGTTATCGACAACTTTTCTGCGTAGAAAAGTTGTTATCGACAACTTTTCTCCATAGCAAAGTTGTTACCGACAACTTTTCTGCGTAGAAAAGTTGTTATCGACAACTTTTCTTCATAGGAAAGTTGTTATCGACAACTTTTCTGCGTAGAAAAGTTGTTATCGACAACTTTTCTCCATGAAAAACTGGTTATCGACAACTTTTCTCCATGGAAAATTTGTTATCGACAACTTTTCTCCATAGAAAAGTTGTTATCGACAAGTTTTCTCTATAGAAAAATTGTTATCGACATTTTTTCTTTATAGAAAAGTTGTTGTCGACAACTTCTTTATATAGAAAATTTGTTATCGATGGTTTTTCTTGATAAATAACAAATTATCGAAAGATTTTCTTTATGGAGAAGTTGTTATCGATGGCCTTTCTTTATTAAAATATTGTTATCGATAGCTTATTTTAGAAAAAACTGTTTTGTTCTGAAAAAATTATTATCGTTTTTTTTTGAATCCGTTAATAATCCAACTGTTCTCAAAGGTATCCACCAGAAATCGTTTGATTTCATTTTCAAACATTTCTTCTTGTCTTCAATTCTATTTCTTAATTTTTGTTTGTTTTTTTGCCCATTTTACGTTCGGTTGGTGGTTGCTTGAGACCTTGCCAATTTACGATTCGAAAATTGTTTGTCTGGCAGAAGAAAAAAAAAACTGATAAGAATCGCAAGAAATCACATTCGTTGCCGTTTCCTTGCGGCACAATGGAGTGTGCCACATATTTTCACACAGAAATAGACAGACAAGCTCATTTGTGTGTGTGTGTGTGCGAGTGTGTTGCAGACACCAAAGATTGTAAAGACATGTGGATAAGTGTTAAACACAGCCACCCCAACCTGCCGCCACCACCACAGTCTTCGTCGTTGTCATCATCATCAGCCGGCCTGGCCATTACGATAACAAGCATATTAGATACTTGGTTTGGCATCGTGTTGGAATTCGAAATACCAAATATTTTTTTTTTTTTGGTCTGCAATTTGGAATTTTGCAAACAAACAAGAACAACAACAAAGTTAAGGAAAATTCTAAGCCATGGCCTAGGAGGGGGAGTTGGTCTGAATGGGTCGTGGGAGGGAGGAACCATTGAAGATTGAGATGTCTGCTGTCTAAGATTTCGAGATAAAATTACCAACAAATGTCACCTGACAATGTGGATGTTGGTGGATAATAGTTGTGTGGCTGGCAGACTGTGGGTTGTTATAGTCGCCGCCGCCATTGGCTTTAAAAATTTGTCAACAATCGACAAAAAAAAAGATGTTAGTTTCTATGACCGGCTCTCTCATTAAAACTCATTTGTCTAGCGACGACGACCACTAATTGCAGTATCTAAAAAGTTATTTTAATGAGTTTTGAATTCAAATATTTCTTCAAGGTCATTTGCATTGAATGGAGTCTGCAATTTCTTTTTTTCCACTCGTCTTCTTCTTGTTTTTCATTTATTTGAGGAAGCAATTGTATGAAAGCTGAAGAGGTAAACTCCATTGTACATATATGGTAGCTTGTTCTCCATTGAAGTGTCTAACCCTCTCTGGCGGCTTGGTCATGTTTCAATACCAAGTCTTGGCGTTTTTCTTTTTTTTTTACAAAAATTTCAATTGCTGTTTTGAAGATTCATTTGATGCTCGCTAGACAAAGTGGATATAGTTGTTGTGTGTGGTTATTTGATTTCAAAAGTGGTTTCTGGCAAATATTTCAATACAAAAATGTTTCAAATTATCGTCAGAAGAATATCAACGGCGGCGGCGGCGGCAGTAGTGGTAGGTAGGTAGCATCATCATTATTGAAATAAATAATATTTGAAATCAGAAACTTGATTTGATTTATGAAACAAGATTTGAGAGGTTTAGAACAAATTATTAAGTGTTTGAAATATAATATTGAAATGTTTTAATAGATTTTTATGGAATTTTTCGATTTTGTTTTGAAAAAGTTGTTTTTTCTTAGCAAAAGACTTTTTATCGGAATATTTTCTTTAAAAAATGTTTTTATCGCCACATTATTTCCATAAAAATTTTGTTATCGACGATATTTCTTCATAACACATGTGTTATCGCTAAATTTTCTCTATAGCAAATGTGTTATCGACAATGTTTTCTCTCGGAAAAGTTGTTATCGATAACTTTTTTGAATAGAATATGCTTTATCGGCAACAGGAAAGTTGTTATCGATAAATTTTCCGCATAGAAATATTGTTATCGATAAATTTTCACTGTTAAAAAGTCCTTATCGATAACTTTTCGCTATAGAAAAGTTGTTATCGACAACTTTTCTCCATAGAAAATTTGCTATCGACAACTTTTTTCCACGGAAAAGTTGTTATCGACAACTGTTCTCCATAGAAATGTTGTTATCGACAGCATTTCTCCATAGAAATTTTGTTATCGATAACTTTTCTCCATTGAAAAGTTATTATCGACAACATTTCGTTATAGAAAAGTTGTTATCGACAATTTTTCACCATAGAAATGTTGTTATCGATAACTTTTATCCGTGGAATTGTGGTTATCGTTAACTTTTCTCCATAGAAAAATTGTTATCGACAACTTTTCTCCATAGAAAAATTGTTATCGACAACTTTTCTCCATAGAAAAGTTGTTATCGACAACTTTTCTCCATAGAAAAGTTGTTATCGACAACTTTTCTCCATAGAAAAGTTGTTATCGACAACTTTTCTCCATAGAAAAGTTGTTATCGACAACTTTTCTCCATAGAAAAGTTGTTATCGACAACTTTTCGTTATAGAAAAATTGTTATCGACAACTTTTCGTTATAGAAAAGTTGTTATCGACAACTTTTCTCCATAGAAAATTTGTTATCGACAACTTTTCTCCATAGAAAATTTGTTATCGACAACTTTTCTCCATAGAAAAGTTGTTATCGACAACTTTTCTCCATAGAAAAGTTGTTATCGACAACTTTTCTCCATAGAAAAGTTGTTATCGACAACTTTTCTCCATAGAAAAGTTGTTATCGACAACTTTTCTCCATAGAAAAGTTGTTATCGACAACTTTTCTCCATAGAAAAGTTGTTATCGACAACTTTTCTCCATAAAAAAGTTGTTATCGACAACTTTTCTCCATAGAAAAGTTGTTATCGACCACTTTTCTCCATAGAAAAGTTGTTATCGACAACTTTTCTCCATAGAAAAGTTGTTATCGACAACTTTTCTCCATAGAAAAGTTGTTATCGACAACTTGTCTCCATAGAAAAGTTGTTATCGACAACTTTTCGCTATAGAAGTGTTATTATCGACCACTTTTTTACAGGAAAGTTGTTGTCGACATTTTTTTCTATTGAAAGTTGTTATCGACAATTTTTTTCCATTGAAAAGTTGTTATCGCCAACTTTTTGTTGCAGAAAAGTTGTTATTCCTAAGAAACATTGATATTTGTGCCAGAAATTCTCAGAATTGTGCTACTTTAATATGATTTATAAAAAAACTGATGCGGTGATGGGAAAACTTGTTTGTTGTTTTTTTTCGAAACATATTTCAAACAATGTCAACTTCTATATTAACTGTTGTGGTGACTGTCACTGTCATTGAGATGACACTTGATGAGCAATACTGAAAACTGGCCTTTTTGCATATAAATTTCATAATAATCATAAATCATTTCGAGTTTTGTGATGGAATTGCAGTGTTATTTATTTTCGAAATGATTTAACTATGCAAATTAGCCTGTGCTAGAATTTCATGCCCTGCTGTTATCTGTAATTGTTGTTGATAGTTTAATAAATAATGTTAATATTTCTTTGAAATAATAATAAAAGAAATATAATTAGTTAATTAAACAAATATTCAAATCACGTTCAGATGCAAAAAAAAACATGGTCAATGGTTATTTAAGTATTTGCTTTAAAAAGCCATATTCCGTACATGGAAAGGCATTTAAGTTGAAATATGGTTTTGCCGAAGCCTTACTTATGGTCAAAATTCATAACTATTAATAAATAATAACAACAAATTGTTGTTTTTTTTTTTTTTTTTAAATAAAATTTATAGTTTTGTTTATTTTGCAAATAACAAATTTCAATTCAAGTCTCACGATTTGTTAGAGATTTTAATTATTTTAAATATTAATTTTTTTTTTATTATTTTGTCATGATTTCAAGTTTCAATTTCAATAATTCAAATCAAAATTGTTGATTACAACAACAAAAAAACAGCAGTGACAACAACAAAAGATAAATGGTGTGTGTGTGTTTGTTTGTCTCGTCGAAGGTGCTGAGAGATACTTAAGGTGTTTGTTTTGTGTGTGTGTGTGTGTTTTTTTTCGGTATTGCCATTCATATGTTTGTTTTGCTATTATTTCCAACATTTATGGCCATTTATTATTGGCCATAAATACTCGGTTTATTGTTAATTATATGTAATTTGTATGCATTTAATTTTTATTGTTTTTTTTGTCTCTCTCGTTTCGTTACAGGTTACCACAGTTTACACTCTATGCCAGGATTATTTTTTTTATGATGGTAAGTACGGAGTAGAAGTAAGAGAGAGAGAGGGAGAAAGAGAAAGAGTTGTTGAAAAGTCTGGGAGGCAGAGGAAAGGTTTGAGAAATTAACACGTGTAGATCCTAATAAAGATCAATGATTGATTCATGTGTGTGGCCAGGGATGGAAAGTTTAGAAAGTTGATTTTTGAAAAAGAATGGAGGTTTGGGGTTTTAAATGGTAAAATGTAACAGATTTTTAAAATTTTAAATTTTCACTCCCTGATTTATGTGATTTAGTTGAATTTATAATTTGCGAGGGGCGCCCAATGTGACTTAAATACAATTTGTTCCTAAAACCTTTAAATTAAATATAATTTACAACAACAAAGGTTCAGGGACCTATTTTAAATGTTTTTTTGTTTTTTGTTTTTTTTTTTGTAAAAAACATCAGCTTGTTAGATAAATGCAGGAAAATGTAACAATTATATTCAATTTCTTTAAAAAAATATTTGTTGCTAAAGTGGCGCCCAACGTGAAACTATTACATTTTTCATCTATTCCAATACACGAATAAAAATATATATTTTTTGGAAACCAACTCCTTAGATGATGGAGTAAAAAAAACACGAATGCCGTCCTTGGAGAATATATTAAAAAAAAACCAAGTCGTTTAAAAAAAATCATGTTTGTTGGAAAGTGGCGCCCAACGTAAAACTACGACTTCTGTCCTATGGAATCGAATAAATACATGCCCTAAAAAATATGTACAACTGTTGTTCAACAGAGAATATTTCCTTAAAAAATTCGATTTCGTCTTCCACAAAAAAAAATTGTTGGAAAAATGGCGCCCAACGAAAAACTATCACTCCTGTCATATAATCCATTCCACCATCGAATCGACTAAATAGTTTTGTTAAAAAATTCCACTTAATCGATCCTTGGAAAATATATTGTAAAAAATACACGTCGTCTTCCATAAAATTTTTTTTGAGGGAAAAATGGCGCCCAACGTAAAACTATCACTTCTGTCGTATAATCCGTTTTATTTAGAAATTAATAAAAATTATAAAAATATATTCTTTTAAAAAGTCCTTTTAGAAAATATAATCGACGTCGTTCTTCAAATACCTTTACGAAAAGTGGCGCCCAACGTAAAACTATCGATTAAATATTATTTTTTTTTTAATTCCCAGTCTGTTGATCCTTTAAGAATATATAGTCTAAAAGAAAATCCTGGAAGTCCTTCAAAAAAAAAAAGGAAAGTGGCGTCCAACGTAAAACTATCACCTTAGTCATCTAATCCGTTTTATCTGGGGATTAATAAAAATATATTCTTTAAAAAAGTCCAGGTCTGTTAGTCCTTTTAGAAAATATAATCGACATCGTCTTTCAAAAAAAAAAAAAAAAAAAAAAAAATGGGAAAGTGGCGCCCAACGTAAAACTATCACTTCTGTCATCTATTCCGTTTTATTTGGGGATTAATAAAGATATATTCTTTAAAAAAAGTCCAGGTCTTGTAGTCCTTTTACAAAATATAATCGACGTCGTCTTTCAAAAAAAAAAAAAAAAAAACTTTGGTGAAAAGTGGCGCCCAACGTAAAACTATAATTAAATATTATTTTTTTTATAATTCCACGCCTGTCCTTGTCTTCTAAAAAAAAAAAAAAATTCAAGACGTCCTTCAAAAAAAAAAAAAAAAAGGAAAGTGGCGCCCAATGTGAAACTATAACTTCTGCCATCTAATCCGTTTTATTCGGGGATTAATAAAAATGTATTCTTTAAAAAGTCCAGGTCTGTTAGTCCTTTTGGAAAATATAATCGAAAATAAAACTTGGTGAAAAGTGGCGCCCAACGTAAAACTATCGATTAAATATTACATTTTTTTAATTCCACGTCTGTTGGTCCTTGGTTTTCTGAAAGAAAACCCAAGAAAAAAAATACAAAAAAGATGGGAAAGTGGCGCCCAACATGAAATTATAACTTCTGTCATCTAATTCACTCCTCTTGGGAATTTAATTGGTAAATTTTGTGGAAAAATAGCGCCCAACGTTAAAATATATCTTCTGCATAAATTTTGTTGAAAGATGGCGCCCAACGTAAATCTATCAAAAATATGAACTTTAATTCGGAATTAATAAAAAAATATATTCTTTAAAACAATCTACGTCTGTTAGTTCTTGAAAAATATATCAACGAAATCTTTCAAAAAAAAAAAAAAAAAAAAAAAAATGGTGAAAAGTGGCGCCCAACGTAAAACTACTAGTCTTCGCATTAATGCATTTTAATGGGGAATTGAATATATATTTTAAAAAATCATTGGTCTTTGGATAATATATTCCTTAAAAAATCCACATGCTCGCCAAAAAAAAAAAAAAAACTAAATAAATAAATATTTGGTGGAATAGTGGCGCCCGACATTAAACTATTACTTCTGTCATCTAATCCATTTTACTTGGGAATCGAATAAAAATATTCTTTAACTGTTACTAATCCATTTAATATGAGAATAGAATTTTTTAATTCGATTCTTTCTAGAAATCCACGTCTCATGGTCCTTTGGGAATAAGTTCTTTAAAAAAAATCTGTCAAAATAATTCACAGATTTGCTAATCATTTAAATTTAGAATATTTTTTTCCAAAAATAATTATTTTCTTGAGCATATCAATCATCCCCTGCCCACCGAGATAACAAATTTAGATTTATACTTTTCAGGAATTTGATTTTTCTTTTATTGAATTTGGTGGCGCCCAACCTAATTGCGGTGCTTGTGTGTCATAAACTGCAATTGTTTTATGAAGTCGTCCCCAAACAACAACAGAGATTGTATTACCAAAAATAGTTGGCTGATACGAAAAAAAAAAATAACGTATTCAAGAGAAATATGAGTTGACATATCCTCATTTTTGCGATATTTCCGGTCGATTATGGGAAAATGTAGAATATTCTTTTATGATGTTGTAAAATGAGCCATAATTTTGTTTCTGACAACCAAAGAGGGGGAGAGGGGATTTTAAGTCGAAATAAAACCGCGAAATTGGCTGATGAAACAGGGCCACAATGGTTTTGATTTTGGGGAACGAAAGAGATCGCTCAAGAAGAGTCAGTTTGAAATGGCAAAACTTGAGTTGGATGGGAGGAGAACTTCAAAATTCTAAAAATAATTCTGAAACCTGTCTGTCTTATGGAGGTGATGTTGGGAAAGAAAGAGGCCTTTCCTAAAGAGTGAATTGAAAATTTCAAAACTTGAGTTGGATGGGAGGAGAACTTCAAAATACTAAAAATTATTTCAAATAATTCTGAAACCTTATCATCTTAATTCTCCAATAAGATTTCGATAAAAAAAAATATCCTTACTCTGCTAAAGCTTAAAAAAAATCCAAAAATAATATCTTCCAGTCATTCCTTTGATCATTTTCTTTTCCTGTTGCTCAAGTATTTCCTTTCGCAAGCAGCTATTGACATTTCCCTTTCTTTTTTTTTTCTACCCAGCTTTGAATCAAGTCAGTTAGTCAGTCAGACATCCAAGAGATTTCCTTTTTGCTGCTGTTTGATGTTTGCTTGAATGACGGTAACCCAAAACCCACACGCTCACAACCTCCCCGCAAGAAACGAAACCACCAAACAGACCACCTAATTTTATGCCCTGCCAAGTTTATAATCCTTGCCTCAGACAGTTTGTCTAATAATATTTTTTTACACCCCAAGCTACCCATTTACCTATGCCATCCCAATGTACACACCCGCCCTCCCCCATTGTAATCTTGACATGGTATTGCCGAGATTTTAATTTTCAATATTTTGCGTCACAGACAATACGCTGACTGTTGTGGTCAAAAAAAAAAAAAATCGAGAAAAAAAAGAGGAAGAAGCAAAAAAAATATATGAAACACATTCTGCTTTGTGGTTTAGAAAAGGAAAATGTGAAAGACGAAACAAATACTTGACAAACAGCAACAACGGTAATAATAATGACATTTGTGTGGTCAGAATAGCGTTAATATGGCTTGGGCCAAATCAGGGCAGACTTTAAGTACATACTCACATATACGTATGTACGGGGCTTGCCAACAGTTGTGGGAGCATAAAATAGCATGGAAGAGATATGAGGGAAATTTTCATTGAAGATTCTGGCGTGCAATAGAAGGCACAGTGGTCTTCTAGAGACCAGATAAAAATTAATCCAAAAAAAAAGAAAATCCAAAGGTGTTCTTAAAACCAAAAATGTCGCCGAGGTATTCCATAGTCAAAAGAAGAGCCAGAGATCCTTTATGGGTCATAAAAAGTTCCAAAGATCTTCAATAGACAGATGGTGTTGGCATTAAGCAAGCTGGGACACTTTGCAGTCACCCGGACCTCTTTTTGAAGGATCGGGTAAACGGAAATAGGTTTCCTTAAACAAAAAATGTTGCAGAGGTATTCCGTAGATAAACGAAAACCCAGAGATCCTTTAAAAGTTCCAGAGATCTTCAATAGATAGATTGTGTTGGCATTTAGCCGGCTACAACATTTTGTAATCGCCCGGACCTCTTCTTGAAGGATCGGGCAAACGGAAATAGGTCGGTAAATTGTTCTTTAATAAAAACAGTTGTAGGTTTGGTTGAAAAGAGGGGCGAAAAAAATCGCAACATATGCTGGTGGACATACACTTAAGCCAGTATAGGCCTGGGTGCGCTCTGTCGCTCACTCCATCTATCGTTTTGTGCGTTTCCTCCTTTGTTTGAATTCGCAAAATGGTAGTATTTTTGCCGCTGCTTTCAGATTCGGAGTCTGAGCACTACCTGTCGTTGAAGGCTGGAAGGAGCGTACGCTTACCCGGAGTTCCTTAGACTCTATGTCTTTCTTTTTGTCTGAAGGCTGTGTGCTTGCAGCAATAACTTCGACCACAGATGCCAAGGCAAGTGGGTGCCTGCGGTAGAGATTTGCTCACGATCGTTGGATAACGACAAGGTATGACTCTTGGCTGGATCATAAGCACTGGATTATTTAGGTCCTGCACCATAACTTCGTTCTCTTTTTTACCTTCTTCCATTTTTGTTTTAAGGGAACACCCCTATAGTCAGTTTTTTGTCCTCGGGGAATCCGATGATCCCCAGAGACGGGTTATCACATTATTCCGCTCCAATCAGTTCGTAACTAAGACGTTTGACTAGTTTGAGCAAAATAGTGTGATCATCCATCTCCCCCTATCCGCCGGTGGGGATACGCCTGGTAGGAAAACTGACAACACCCCAAGGAAGCGTTTGCGTAAAAACTGTTTCAGGTGGGCGATAGGAATCCGTCGATTCATGAGTCTTTGATATTGCGATCTAATTATCCATTAGAACGTTTACGTTAGCCGGTCCCGTGTTGGCATTGAGCCAGCGGGGACTCTTTGCAATTACCCAGACTTTTTCTTGAAGGATTGGGAAGATTGGAAAGAGGTTACGCTACATGGTTCTTTAATAAAAACAAGTCCCAGTTCCGATATCCCCCCTCGAACCGAGCCGTCTGTTTAATAGCAGTTTCCAGATGGCATTTGTGATAGGAATCCGTCAATCCATGAGTCTCTGATATTGCTATCTTATTGTCCGTTAGGACGTTAACGTCAGCCGTTCTCGTGTTGGCATTAAGCATGCTCAAAAACTTTGCAATCACCCGGACCTCCGCTTGAAGGATTGCGCAGGCGGAAAGAGGTTACGGTGTATGGTTCTTCAATAAAAAAAAAGTCGTCGTTCCCCTCTCCCCGCTCGCGCCGAACCGAAAAACAGTTTCCATTAGACATTTATAATAAGAATCCGTCGATCCACGAATCTCTGGTAGAATTTGTATGATGGTATGCCATTTGGCCTATTTATCCACCCGTCTGGCACCTTGAGCCTTATTGTCGCGACAGCCACTTCAAACTTATCTTAATATCTATTGGGTGTACGTATAAAATTGTCTCTAAAGCCCTAGTTTATGTTGTCTTCATTGCTCCGCACATGCTTAAGCAGCATATTCGTTGGACTTTCTGTAATATTTTAGTATTAAATTTGTTATCCATAGCTGTCCTTCGGACTACTGATGTGGATGTTAGAATAGGTCGAATTATGCTTTTCAATAGCCAGTGTGTCATCTTTGGATGGAAACCCCATTTTTAGCCTATGGCCCTTTTACACGTTGCCCAGCATCTGTGAGCTTTACTAGCTCTTTCTTGGATCTGGTCTCTCGAATTAAGTTTCCCATCTAGAATCACACCTAGATGTTTATCCTTATTGGAAATATTGATAGTCTAGTTCCGGAAGATTGGTTCATCGAAGACAAAACTTTTTTTTTTTGGATTTATGTTAAGATCTCTTGGTCTAGCCCAGTTGTGTGCAAATTTCAGAGGCAACTCGGCCTTTCTGCAAAACAGTTAAGGATTCTTTCCCCTCAGAAGTATAGCGTTGTCTGCATAGTAGAATGATTCAAATCCTTCGTTGTTTAAAATACTCAATAGACTGTGGTAGTAACCCCCACAGGAGAGGTGATGAAATACCTCCCTTGGGCATTTCTTCACCAATTTTGTCCCCCTATGTTTAAGTCATATAGCCCGCAACTTATCCATCTATTTCTAAGCATATGGTTTATCCAGTTAGAGGTTTGGATCCTCCCTTAAAAACTACCTTTTACCTTTTCATGACTCAGTTCTTCCATGATTTTTTTTTTTTTTGAATTATATAAATTTAATTTTTTATGCACACCCGAAAAACGTGATACTAGGTGATATCAGCAGCAAAATGACAACCCAATACCAGCCATTCAATAAACTGCAGACAGTTGGTCAGCAGAAAAAAGATATTTTTCATTTTATCGCGTGGTTGTTTTTTTTTTTTGGGAAATTTAATACCATTTCATTTTGTTGTTATAAATGTTAGCTTGTTTATGAGCAATTACAATTAATTTCCCTCTCTCTCAAAAAAAAAAAATAAAAAAAAACATTTATTCTTGTTACTTGTATTTTTGTTATTGATTTTTCATCCACCCATTTTTTTTCTGGTGTTCTTTCTTGTTTCTTTCTAGGTAATGTTTGCCTTTGCAACAACAGCATGTTCAAAGAAAACAAACGATTATGTGATAATGTTAAAAAATCACGAGAGGGCATTACATATAAATGCCGCCGGCAAAGTGACAGCAACAGATATATCATTAGCACGTAAGTATATGATTTACACATACATAATTTTAGTACTCTTTAAGTCTGGGTTCAATGCATGTAGAGAACAAAAAAAAAAAAAACAATGGAAAAAAAGGAATGAAAACAACAATTGTGAACACACCCAATGTAAATAAATGCCCATAAAATACAACTATAATTCCCTCATTAGCAGCCCTATAAAAATAAACACTCAAGGAGCGAGCAAGGCAATGGGAGAGGAAGAGAGAAGGCATCATTTAAAAACATTAAAATGAAACAACTGATTGGCAAAGATCTCCCGTTATTCCCTAGTACGATAGAGAGAGGGAGAAAGAGTAATGAAACTCTTAATAAATCCTTTTTGCAATTAAATTTTCATTTTATTATTAAAAACAACTCTCTGAGTACCAAAAAAAAAAAAAATCTAACGGGTTTCTTTGATCTCTTCTCAAGTGTTATGGCCACTACTTAAAGCGGGAGAAGTATCTAAAAACGTTAACTCCCACTTTTGCCTTAAAAACATATTTCTCTCTCTCTCTCTTCGAGTACCCAACACAATTCTAACGGTTGTCTTTGATCAGCTCTCAAGTGCCATAACCATTACTCTGAGCATCAAGAGATATACATCTAAATCTCTTTGTTTACACTTGCCAAGAGTAAATCTCTCTGGATTATTTTACACTTTAAATTTACAAGGTGTGATTAACACCTCGCGTACAACGAGATCCTGTAAAAACAGAGGTAACAAAAAAAGGGTTTTCATCATCATCTTCATCCACAAGATGTTTGGCAATTCAACAACACTCAATGATTGCATCGGGTAAATAACTGTCTTAAAAGACAACTCACACTTACGTTTACACCTTGAAAAAAAAAAAGAATAAACAGACTCAGACTTCGTGGGGAAAAACTCCGTTGAGGCGTTGCGTCGGCATTTTAACAAAGCGAAATAAAACAATGAGTTTACACATACCTCAAACATGCATGCCTGCATACATGCATGTTGGTAAATAGAGATTTTGTGTCTTGTATTTGCATACAAGCAAATGGATTTTATAAATAAATAGAAAGAGAAAACAAGTTAAGAAAAGGGCTATGACAAGCATAGGCGATCATTGTGGGTCTGCGTAACAAGACTACCTGAAATCTTTAACTACTTGGATTGAATGATCACGAATGTCGTAAGAGAGATGTCAAAAACCATGTTCTCCATAAGAGAAGTGAGAAAAATAACCCCGAAATTGCGTTCCGACAGAAGGAGAGAAATAAAATATAGAAGTTTTAGTTTCTTAACCAAATAAATAAATGACTTCTTTATTGATATTCTCATCAAATATTTAGAGCTCGAATTCTATCAGCCGATAGTGCCAAGAAGCATACACGCAAATAGTAGTAGCTTTAGCGCGAATTCGTTGAAATCTGACATTGATATATGAGAATTGATAGTGAAAACTCCGAGAGTGGCTCTGAAATTCCTCTATAATAAGAAGATGTGAGTTTCAGAGAAGGATTCATCGAAAGATTTATGGGACAATTCGCATTGACGCCGTCGTAAAAATGACGAGCTCCATCAGCTTTATTCAGACATTGGAATAGTTATTCGTATCGATCTGAGAATGTAGTAAAAACTCCAGGGTCAATAATTTACCATTCTCTCCCCATCTATCTATTTTAATACCTCTCTACCAGTTTTATTTTTCATTCTGAGATAATCAACTCAGAACAGAACAGATCTTAATTAAATAAAGGAACAAGAAAATAAGTCTAATACAGTTATTCCTTTTTTCGTAATTGGTAAAAAAGTTTGGGTTTCAACAGGGATGGCCAAGATTCCCATGAGAACATAATGACAAAAAGGATATCGGATTCCGTAATATTTAACATTTTGCGGATAAAATTAGGGCTTTTTTAATTGGAAGAAGAAAGGAGTTTTAGTATGACTTAGTTCAATTTCGTCCCATAAGCTCTTTTGTTCTTCTACGAAAATGACAGTCCATGATTTAATCCAACAAAAAAACTTTAATTGTCTCCGAATCTTTAGTTCGGTGTATGTTCTGAGTTGGACCACATAATTAATTGATTTTTGAGACCGCTTTCTGATTCTATGTTTCATTCTGTTTCAGTTATTTCCTCTTGTTGGAATAATCATTCAAATTTTCTGCTTTTGTTTTTTCTCTTCATATTAAATTTCAAAACTTTCTTAACTTTAAATGCAAATATGTTAAATTAGGAAACTCATTATCGTCACTCTCTTCCAATTTATGGCAGAACACCGAGCACCTCGCTAAAGTCATAAACCTGTAATAAATCGAAAGAGATTAAATAATTAAGTATTAAAGGCTTACCTATAGACTAGGGGACAAATATTTTGAATCGGACCTCATAAATAAGTTATTAATATGCGAAATCGCTTTTCGGATTTTCTATACCGCCTCCGTCATTTCCTCTTGGGGAAATAATTTTGTTTCTCCTTTTAACATTAATTTCAAAATTTTCATAACTTTAAATGCAAATATGTTAAATGAGCAAATTCATTATCTTCACTTCCTTCCGATGCCATAAGCAACACATCGAGCACCTCGCTGTAGTCCTAAACCTGTAATAAATCGAAAAAAATTAAATAATTACGTATTAAAGGCTTAGCTTATTTAATGGCGCCACAGATTTCTTTAAACTTATCAAAATGTCCCAATTTTTTCCATTACTTGGCAGGTGAAATATGCTGTCAATTGCTATAAATGACATTTGCTAAACGGCGCTAGAGATTTCAAGAAAAAAATTATCAACATTTTCGATTTTTTTTTCTCCATTATTTGTCAGGTAAAATATGCCGACCGATTTATGACAAATGACATCTGGAAAGCAAATTTAAAGTCCTTGAAAGGTTTTCTATATCACGGAACGTAATAAACAACATAATCTTATTTGTTTCTAAAATCAGTCACATAATTCCAGATTGTATCAAATAATTGAGAGGCTCCGCAATAAATCTCTACCGTAAATCAATAATGGTTTAGCATTCCATTTAATAAGAAAACAAACCATTTTAACCTAATCTAAGTACAACCCAAAAAGCTATGGTAACAAAAAAAGTATATTTCAAATAGCCTATGGGGTTTGTGTTTTTTATTTTTTTGCCTGCCATTGATGACGTCTTTAGTTTTATGAGGTCCACTAATTTGACCAATATTTGACGTCATGTGACAAATCATAACAACCAATCAGCTGATATTTCTTGGTGTAAACATACCAATAGCAAGTGCTTTTTTAATTATTAATTGTCATATATATATATGCAAGATAAAAATGAATGAAATAAATGCTGACTTGAATGAAATTTTTTTTTATAAATAACTGTTCATTATCTTTTTAAGTGCCATAGAGGAATTTTCAACATTGTCTAAAATAATAAATGCAAATAGGAATTGATTTTGGATTGCGATCTCTTTTTTTGAGTTCTTCAAGGAGCCAAAGTGTGCGAACGATAGGGATCATGATAATAAGCTTGAAATGCAAATAATTTGCAAGATTTTAACTTAGAACGCAGTTTATTGAGTGAAAATACCAAGCAAGGTCAATGAAAACGATATTTTTATCACTTGTCGCACTTGAAATATTGCCAAAAATATTCAGAAATTTAAATGTGTTTAGACGTGGAGCAATAAAACTAATGATTTAATTTTAAATGCAAATATGTTAAAAAAACCTACCAGCCCTTAATTCCTTTGGTTAATCTCGCTCTTTATGCCAAATTTGTTTTCAAAATTGAATTGAATTAAACTCAAGTGAAAAATATGAAAAACTTTTTTCGGAATGGTGCTATTTTTTCGCATTCATTTTTGCAGGTCCTTATTCTCTTTTGTATTTCCAGGGAAAGAGTAGTTTAATAACTTTAAATGCAAATGTGTTAAATGTTTTAAGAAATTTAAATTCTATATGTATTTTTATGTCGAAGATCAGCAAAAGAACTGAATAAAGTTCTGCTCGTTCCTTATGCAGAATAGTTGCTTTAAACTAGTTCATTTTGGAACAACATAATTCTGCCTTGGCTAAAGACTACAATGGATCCAACAATGAAAATGAGAATCTCCCTCTTCGATTGTCAACTCTATGCTCTATGCGGCCCGACTGGTCATTTACATTGGTCCTTCGAGCCGGATACAGAAAGGAATTTACACCCAAGCCAAGCGGGTTGTATTCTTTTCTCATTGTTTTAAATTGCACGTGCCGAATAGAGAATAGAGTTGACAATCGAAGAGTGAGATTGAATTCAATTTTCTAAAACGTTGGTCTTTCGAGCCGGATAGAGAATAGAATTGATAATCGAAGAGAGAGATTGGATTATATTCTATTTACAAACAACATATTTGCTACTATGAAGCATAGCGTAATGGTATGGAGTAACGTCGTTGCAACTGGTGTTGGAAACTAGCATTTATTAGAGGAAACCTGGATCGCTATAAAAATAAATCTAGGAAATAGAGTTGATAATCGAAGAGGGAGATTGGATTCTAGTCTCATTTACAAACAACATATTTGCTACTATAAAGCATGGCGTTGGGAACGTAGAGGAAACCTGGATCGCTATAAAAATAAATCTATTTTAGAAAGTAGTTTAAAGCTTTCGGTCGATTACTTAAAACTGCGTAGGAGTTTGATCTATCAACGACCCAAAACACATAGTCCAATTAATTCCAGATTGTCTACTGTACACAACCCAGATCGGAACGTAATCGAGCATGTGCCAGAGGATCAGAAAACATTACATAAGCAGCGCCAAAATATTCAAACTCCAACAGATAACACCATTCTTTCATCGAAAGATCTAAGGGACAATCCGCATTGGCGCTAAATAACGGTGTGGTATGAATAATGAGCTCTATCTGCTTTATACCGACATTGATATAGTTAAACATATCGAGCCGAGAATGTATTATCAGAATGGCTAGTAAAAACCCCCATAATTTATACTTTAGGGTAAACTCCCAGGCGGTTACAGGTTATTATAGGTACATGTT